CCTTCCTTCCTTTCTTTCTTTCTTTCTTTCTTTCTTTCTTTCTTTCTTTCTTTCTACCTCACTCAATCTTTCCCTTTCTTTTTGTTTTCTTGAAATACTAGAAACCTATTCTTACCTGAGAATATGATATTGCATCCATTTTCTGTTCTTTGGTGTGTGCCATTATATCTTAAATGTGCTTGTTCTTTGGTGCAACTGGTAGAACTGAAAATGGAAAGGCTTAGTTCTTTCCCGGGAGATACTGATCCTGTCTGTGTCAGTATTCCCAAGATAATGGCCTAGGTAGATCTTAGGGTTCAGTAAGGTTGAAATTTTCTGGAATCTAACTTTGAATTTTCCCTCTTCTTCCCCCTCCTCTAAGGCACTGTGGTTTGTGTGCTGGTGGGAGTGGGTTTTGAAATGTGGTAAAATAGCCCATAAAGACACACAGGTATTGAACTTGAAAAAAAAAAATACTTTATAGATGAAAAATGAAAAAAATCACCATGTTGCTATGAAAGGCTAGCTCACCCCTTTTATCCAACTGTCTAATTCCTGATTTTGTGAAAGATCTATCACAGTTGAGAATCTCTCATTCTTCCTTTGCCAGTTCACAGATTATCAGAGCTACGTCATCCACGGCTGCCTGGAGAATAATCCTACCCTGGAGAGATCTATTGCTTTATTTAACGGGATCTCTAAGTGGGTCCAGTTGATGGTTCTTAGCAAACCAAGTCCTCAGCAAAGGGCAGAAGTCATCACAAAGTTCATCAATGTAGCACAGGTTCGCTTCATCATAATCAGATCTGGGGTTGGGAATTCTGTATATTTATTAATTTTATTGAAGAAAGTCACTAAGAACACTGGCATCAACAATAAGAGGGCAATGAACAGGACAGGAGCCTACCACAGACGGCCTCTGAAAGACTCCACTGACTGAGGTATCGAAGCAGAGGCTGAGATTCATAGCCAAATTTTGGGCAGAGTGCATGGAATTTAATGAAAGAAGGGAGAGATACAAAGACCTGGAGGGGACAGGAGCTCCAAAAGGAGACCAACAGAGCCAAAATACCTGGGCCTTGGAGGTGCTGCAGAGACCAATATGCCAACCAAGGACCATGCATGGAGCAGACCTAAAACAGCTGCTCAGATGTAGTCCATAGACTCAGTCTTCAAGTGGGTTTCCTAGTAAGGGGAGCAGGGGTTGTCTCTGGCATGAATTCAGTGGCAGGCTCTCTGATTACCTCCCCCTTGGGGGGTACAGTCTTCTGAGGCCACAGAGGAAGACAATGCAGCCAGTCCTGATGAGACCTGATAGGCTGGGGTCAGATAGAAGGGGAAGAGGTCCTCCCCTATTAGTGGACTAGGAGAGGGGCATGGGAGGAGATGAGGGAGGGAGGGTGGGATTGGGAGGAGATGAGGGAGGGGGCCACAGCCAGGATACAAAGTGAATAAATTGTAATAAATAATAATAATAAAAGAGTCTAATCTCAACAATCCTGAGACTTCAACATGTAAGTCTATAAAGTATTTTAATAAATAAGAATTCAGATAAAAAACAATAAGAGAGCACTGGACAATTAAACCACCCATAGCTATCTAACGAACAAACCATATTCCTCTCACACAACAAGATTGCTTTTAAACAGCAATGCTTAGAAGCATTTAATTGTATTAATGTGAAATGACTGTTATTGTTTTTTGAGATAATTCAATTTTCATTTCATCTTAAACTGATGTGTTTTCTCCCTAGATTCTTGTTACTAAAATTCTGCTTGTATTCACCTGTAATCTGGGAAATTCAAAACAATTTTTTTAAAATTCTTACCAAGTACTGGTATTAACATGTTTCATTGCAGAAACTCCTTCAACTAAAAAATTTTAACACCTTGATGGCAGTGGTTGGTGGTCTTAGTCACAGCTCCATCTCCCGACTCAAAGAGACCCATTCTCACCTCTCTTCAGAAGTTACAAAGGTACTGTGGATTTGATCTGAAGTCCCACTAAGAATTTTAGATGGCTGAGATGTACTCCCATCCTCACAGGCATCACACAGGAGGGCAGCCTTTCTCTCTGAAACCAGTGCAAAGTTACACATAGGGAACAGAATAGGAAGGAGATGGCCCCACTGGCTGAGTCTTTCCATAAAACCAGATTGTTGCTGATAGGAAGTATTATAATAAGAATTTCCTACTCCTGATGAGATCTGATAGACTAAGATCAGAAGGAAGGAGAGAATGACCTCCCCTATCGGTGGACCTGGGGAGGGGCAAGCGTGAAGAAGGGGGAGGGAGGGTGAGATTGGGAGGGGAGGAGGGAGGGGTTTATGGGGGGATACAAAGTGAATAAATCGTGATTAATAAAAGTAAAAAAAAAGCCAATTATGTGAAAAACAAAACAAAACAAACAAACAAAAGAATGTTCTGGCCAGGCTTGTGAGATGGCTTTAGTGGGTAAGGATGCTGGTGACCTGGGTTTGATCCCTGGAACACACATGGTGGAAGAAAAAACAAACAAACAAACAAACAAATGAACCATACTTCTGACAGTTATTCTCTGATCTGCATACATATGCTGAGCCATGCACATCCCCTCCCCAATAAATAAATAAATAAATAAATAGATAGTTAAATAAATAAATAAATAAATAAATAGATAGATAGATAGATAAATAGAAGGAAAAGGTGTCCTAACCAAAGAGAAATATATTGTAAATGTCACCAAACGTTTGTTTGGTGCTTGCTATGTGATTGGCACTCTTGACAAATGTGGAAGATACCAGATGAATAAGATAAGTGCCCAGTGCTTCTGAAAGGAACTCACTGGGGCCCTACTTGAGTCACCACCCTGTGGCACATCGGAGATGCAAAGGAAAGGAAAGCAGATGTTTCATACAGAAATATTCAGACTCTCAACTGTTGCCAGGGACAAAAGCATGTGGCTTTAAAACCCAATTCACAATGGATATTCTGTACTATACTTATTTGCAAACCAAGTCGAACAAGCTTTTTACTTACTGAACTGAAAGGAACATTTTCCCTTACACGAACACTTGGCTTGCAGTAGGAAGAGGGTGTGTTCTGTTTTAACCTTGAAAAGGTGAAGGTGAAGAAAATCTAAACTGTTTTAAATAATAAATCAACCTGTTGTCTGACATCCCAGGCAGTCCAACAGCAGGGCAAATCCAAGCGTGACCTTACCAGAGCCTGGCTCAATTGCTTCACCTTCTGAATATATCATATCAGGGCTTTGATTTGCAGGTGCTTTTTGTTTGTTTGTTTGATTGATTGATTGGTTGGTTTTTATTTGCTTGCTTGCTTTATTAGCCTGCTTTCCATCCTGATCAGGCTTTGGGGAACAACAGGGAAGAACTACTCTTATTCATGATAGATTTCTCATTTTCACTCTCCCCTCATTAATTAAAGACCCTCTGTCTACACATATTGGGCCATCTCAATTCATAGGATGGCCATTATGGACCAGTAACAGTTGTCCAAGAAATACAGTGTATTAGTTGGCTTAACCCTCTGTTCCTAAACTGTTTACAAATGAAACAGGTAACATTTCCATGAGGTTAAAACAGTCCATCCTAAGTGCTGGGGGCAGAAACAGCTCCTGAGTCTTGTGGGATGCCTTTGGAAAGGGTAGACTGATGAAGGAGGATTTATTAGAAAGTCTAGCTGCTGTTCACTAACCAGCAAAGATTATCTATACAAACACAAGTGAGAAAGCCAGAAAAGCACCATGTGGCCTCAAACTCTGCCCTCATCCCAGGTATAATGGAGCTTACTATGGGTCCTATTTTTTTTTTTAAGCTTTGTACTAAATTTCAAATAAAAGGCAAAAATGAAAATTTAAGTTGTACAGGATAAAAAGCTTGAGGGTGATACCATATCTTGAAAAACGTATCAGAGGAATGGAGAGACGCCTCAGCTATTAAGAGCTCTTGCTGATCTTCCAAACGATGTGGATTTGCTTCCCAGTAGTCGCATGGTGGCTACCAACTGTCTGTAACTCCAGTCCCACAGACCTGACAGCCTCTTCTCACATCCACAGGCAGCACGCCAGGCACACATGTGCTGCACACACATTCATGCTGACAGAACACTCCTATACATAAAGTAATCACACACACACACACACACACACACACACACACTTAAAATTCTTGTGCAGGAAAAGAAACTTCAAACTGAACAAGTAAAGAGCTATGCTCATAGTCATCCTTTCAGTGAGTGTGGAGTCTAAAACTCCAGCTCAGTGCAGCTTTTCCTATCTTCACTGTCCCAGATAAATCTTTAAGTGACATTTGCAACTTTCACAGAAACATGAGAGCATGGTAGAATAGTGTGTGTTTGCCTTTGTGAATTGCAATTTCTCATGGCTCTTAGACTCCTACGCATACATGATACCATTTAGCAGCTCATCCGTAAGCAGGGATCAAGCCATTTCTGTGTTGTTGCAAAATGGAGCAGGCTGTCCTAGCGAGAGCTAGGCCCAGTGCACTTTTCTGATTCTTTTTCTCTTGCTTGATAGTTTCCTGCATCAACATTGGTACAGCTGATACTCCTCCCCATAGCAGAGGAATTCCAAGTCACGTCTTCCAGGATCTGGATGTGGACAGGGCAGAAAGTTGTTGTTTGAAAACTCTACTTTTCCATCTCTTCCCAGAACTGGAACGAAATGACAGAGTTGGTCTCCTCCAACGGCAATTATTGCAATTACCGCAAGGCCTTTGCGGACTGCGATGGCTTCAAAATCCCCATCCTTGGCGTGCACTTGAAAGATTTGATAGCGGTCCATGTCATTTTCCCAGACTGGATGGAAGAGAACAAAGTGAACATTGTGAAAATGCACCAGCTTTCCGTTACCCTGAGTGAACTAGTCTCCCTGCAGAACGCCTCTCACCACTTGGAACCCAACATGGATTTGATCAATCTACTCACTGTGAGTCCTAGGGGCCAAGTGTGTGCTGACCAGCACTTCTGTCCCTTAATTTCTAGTGCCATAAAAAGATGTATTGTGACAAGTCCCTTTGGGGGAAAATAATTAAGGGGTCAGTACATGAGTTTAATCTCAAAGAATGAGGAAAATGGAAACTTACACCCGTAAGGAGCATGACTTGAGACTGTAACCTTGTGGAAACATATTGTCCTTCTTTTGGAGGAACCCATTCTATGCCCAAATGAACCCCTTTACTTCCTAAGAGCCACTTTAGCCCTTTGCTCTCCGTCAGCACCCTTGGCCAACTATCAGCGCCTTCCTTATGGCCTCAAGTCCTCTGCTTCTCTTCTGACTGAGAATTCAAAGACTCTGTATTCTTAACTTAAAACTTTTTATTTTGTATTATATGTACGTATGTGGTATGGGAGAAGGGAGGGAAAGAGAGGAAGACAGAGAGAGAGAGAAAGAGAGAGAGAGAGAGAGAGAGAGAAACTTCAAGAAGTTTTTTCTCTTTCCACCTGTACATAGATTTAAGGCCAAAACTCAGGTTGCCAGGTTTGTGCAACTTTTACCTGATGAGTCATCTTGCTGACCCCTTCTTGCTTTTTGTTTTTATTTTAGTTGTTTTTGTTTTTCAGTAATTGTTGTTGCTTCTTTTAGACTGCAGTTTAGCTCAGGTTAGTCTTGAATACAGTCCCCTGGATTCAGTCTCTTAAGTGCCAGGACTCTAGCTGTGGGCCATCGTGTGCTGGTTTTTAAAGAGTTTGTCTTTCTAGAGCATACTTGATTCTCTTTCGAAGCTGTCATGTCTAATGAAGCTGTCATGTTTCACCCTGTACTTTACGTTTTCCTTAATTGTAGAAGGCATTGCTCTGCCTTAGATTAAATCCTTTTTCTCTTCTCGTGCTTTGTTTAGCACATGCCCAGCACCTTCACAGTACCTGGCACAGTTAAGAACTCAGAAGACAAAGTAAATGCTGTGTTTACAAGTGTCCATCCATGCCTGTAATTATTATTTGTTTACTTAACTTTGGAACTGAGGGCAGATTGTTTAGCTGGTCTTGCTCAGGTCTAGAGCTTTTAGATACAACAGGTGTATAGAAGAAGACATCTTCCATTGTTATTTTGGTTTTTTGTTTTGTTTTGTTTTGTATTGTTGGGTCTCTCTCTCTCTCTCTCTCTCTCTCTCTCTCTTTGGTGAAGAGGAAGAAAGACAAACAAATTCTCTTACCGTTGCTCAAACAAGGGAAGGTATAACTTCCCTATTTGGCTTTGTAACGATGTAGCCTCTGAAACTTGGCTGCAGTGGTGAGTTGATGTTTTCTTTTTAACGGCCATGGAAAATGAAAGCAATGACTCCTCTTACGTTCCAACAGTCAAAATCCTCTAGGACTGCTGTATTGGAATAGGGGTCTGATTCCCAGACTTCATATATACTGTTCCTGGAGCAAGTAATTGTCATCAAAGGACATACCCCTGATAGAATGGTAATATTAAGGGTACTCTTAGTGTGGAGCTGAAGTGGTTAACACACAGATCTCTTGTGTTTGTGTGATTAAACAATAAGCAGAAATACAATAATTTCAAACACAATAATTCAAGCATCTGCATTGATTAATCACTTGCCATGTAAATATGTTTCCATGAACTAATCCCCAGAGTTAGAGCCACAATCAGACAAGAAACCACAGGACAGACAGGTGATGTCTGAGGAGAAATGCCAGTGTGAGCCCTCACTTTCAAGTGTCTGCATCCAGGCTGCATTCTTAGCCGTGAGCGTAACGTCACGAGGGAGATGCCTTCATTTGGGCAATGTCTCAAACACCTAAAAGACAATGATAAAGTAGGGAAATTAAGTTTGAGTTTTAAGAGGATCAAGCAAGGAAAAGGCCTTTCCATGGTAGAGTACTTGCTTAGCATGCAAAAGGCCCTGGTTCAATCCCAAAACAATAAAAACAAAACAAAACCTAAGTGCACCAAGCAACATTATCAAAAAAGTGTTTAGGAAAATTCTGAAAAAATTTTAATGAAAGTTCAATGGTATAAATAGAAACCTGAATTAAAAAAAAAAAGCTAAGAAACAATTCCTCTTGTTAAGAGAAACAAAAGAAAAATAATGATGCCACAGCATGCCCACCTCTTTTGTATGGAACACTGAGGGAGACTGTGGACGCTACTTGGCACCATATTTAAGTGCAGGGGTTGCATATTCTAGAGTGATTGCAAAAGATCCTGGATGGAAAGTCTTGATCTTAGCCTTGCCCCTGTGCTAATCAGTCCTGATTTTGTCTTTTTCATAATGCCCCTGTGCTCATTTATGAGGTCTAAACGTCTATGATTCTTGAAACGCGGAATGGCAACGCTGTGAAAATAAGGAAACATTTCTGCGGTATTTATTGGTTATGGTCCACTGACTCCTCTGGGCACCACTGCAGAGCGGTCACGACACCTAAGCCAGTTTCTACTTACATCTACCATCTTTCTTCTCTCCCCACAATCGAGGAAAATGTTCACTACACACAAAGGCACATCCGTTTTGTCCTGACGACTAGGGAGGTGACATCCTCAACTAGAGTCCCGAGGAAGCCTATGTGTTCACTAGAGTCTAGCAACCACTTAATGAAGCACATACATTTTTGGATTAGAACCACACGACTGCAGCTGGGGTATGAGAGCATGTCCATAAGCATAGCATTTAAGGGGTGATTTTATTTGAAAATTTTGATTTCTCCAACTCAAAATTTCGCCAGAAGTGACAGTGTTCAATATGAGCTTCAGAACATTGAAAAACAGAAAATGAGAACTAAAGTTAATGAACAATTGTTAAACAACTATTCTGTGCATCAGGCTGGCTACCAATGCTGGAAATTTCCATGACCACCAGTTCACATGGCACTTTCCCATGGGCCCTGTAATGAAATAAAAACCAGGAAATGTCATATCACCTCTGTCCCTTCTTTCTCGAAAACGAAGGAACTGAGATTTATAAATGTCCCCAAAGCCTAAAAATGGCGAACTTCTGAATATAAGGTTGGGAAACTTTCTCCCTTGGGTAAGGTATTAGTCATCTTTTGTGACTATACCAGCATAAATTAATTTATTGAAAGGGAAGGCTTACTTTGGCTCAGCCTTTTACCAGTTGGCTTCGCTGCATTGCTCTTACGGCAAGGCTGTTTACCGGTAGGGCAATATGTGGCAAAGCGAGATCACTCACTCCATGGCTGGGAAGTGGGAAGAAAGGAGGACGTGGCTGAGGTCCCACAGTTGGATGCATGGACTCATGATTTAAAGACCTTTCACCAGGCTTCACCTCTTAATGTCCCACTATCTCACTGTAGTGCTGAGCCACAAGCTCTTAACGTATGGCCCCTCGGGGGATTTAAAGATGTAAATGAATACTGGATGGTTGACCTTGGGTGGACATCTGCTCTCTACTATGGGCATATTACTAACACATAGTTTATTTGTGTCATTAAAAATTAAACAATATTTTTCTCCAACCCTTTCTACTACTTATTTAGAGAATAACATTTATGAGGCAAAGACTACATCACTTTCTCCATTGTGTCCTTCGGACTTTTGAACAGCATGAGTAAATGAAGAGTGGAGGAACAGAGCATCAGACTGTTGGGCTTTAGTAGTTTCAGGGTATATTTAGAGAAGGTATCTCCCCTTGAAGTCCCAGTTCACATAATGGGGAGTTCTTGAAGCTGTTGCCTCTGTTTCATGATATATGAAACAGACAAATTCTTTTCATGGTATTTTTAGCCCCATCAGTTACTTTTACCATTTTGAGCATATGCAAATAGCTGGAAAGCCCCTATGTTTTTACAGACTCATTTAAAAAAAAAAGAAAATAAAAAGAAGATAGAGAAAAAGAAGGAAGGAGGAGAAAAAAAGAATGAAGACAACTTGTTAAACTAATGAGTGTAAATGGTTTGATGATCGAGAGTTTTTTGTTTGTTTTATAATAAGCAAATTTTAACATGAAGTTTAACTCTAGAGCCACCTGTGCTGACAGGATTGGAGGGTAAAAGCAACAGGCGATGTATCAGAATATTGCCCAAAACCATCAGAGGCAAATCAGACAAAAGCTGGTCATATTATTTAAAAGTGGGAAGCAGACAGGGAAGATCCTTAGATCCCCATGGAGATCTGAGAAAGGAAACAGGGTTCAGGAATGGCAGGGCAGAAATGGTAGTGGCCCTGGGGACAGTTTTCTATACACAGATAAGTGACATGTGGCTGCTACATTGTCTAGATGCCAAGCGTGCATGTGTGACCTAAGCAAAGACAGTGGAATGGATGGATACACATTAGCTCACTTAAAGCTTCACCAAGGTTCTGAGTGAAAGCTATTGCTTTGATATTGGAAAATATCAAGAAGCTTAACCGCTTGCTCAGGGTCACACCATTGATAAGCAGAAAGAAGACATTTAGAGAAGACCAAATTATGTACACCACTGAGTCACTTATATGCTCATCTGTCATGGGAAAACAGCCAACAAGGGTACTTGCAAGAACATCTAGTGGGCTTAGTAGAGGTTTGTGGGCATTTCTTAATGTCCTGGCACCGCCATTACATCATCCAATAATGCTGGTGCCAGTCATCTTGAAGGCAAGTCAGGAGGAAGGGAACATGCTTGTCAGTCAAAACTGGGCTAGCTTCTGATATCGAGGAAACTGAAGGAAGACTGTACTTAGCATTCTGTCTTTATTTATGGAAGATCCTCCATGCAAGGCCTCAAACTGCAACTGAGGAAAAAAGGACAGATGTTCTGCCCACTCCCCAGAGATTTCTCTCCTTGGAGATTCTAGGTCTTGAAGAGTAGATTATATTAACCATCATGGGGACCAATGTGTCCATCAAATATCCCTTTTGTGGATCCAATTTTACTCTAGAGGCATTTGTCTGTGACACAGGTGAATGCTCTTTACACAATGTAAACACGGTGTCTATTCATAGCAAGCAGAATTTTCAAGACCTGGTAAGATTTTGGGACTATTTTAAAGCTACGTCAACTTTATTCATCTCAGGAAAGAACTTCCAGTTACAAAGTCTTCAATTTAAGTATAAAAATATACACTGACTGCTAGGACAGTGATGTGACTGAGCTCTGGCACATATTACATGATTGACAAAACATTTGTCAAATGAACGAATGCATTGAGATCATATGGTGTCAACATCATTTTCAAAAGAGTAATAGCAAAAAAAAAAATCCTTTAAAACTATAGCTTGTCTTTAGTTCTCTTTTTATCCCTTCTTTTCTATCCTCTTTTTTGCTCCATACTCACAAATGATGAAGATATATTTTTAAGTAAACAAAAACAACTTCTAAGAAATTTGTTGAGTCTGAAGGCCAGCAGCCCTAGACTCTTTTTATTCTTGGCGAAGTGGTGTGATTCACTGATTCTCTCAGCATCGAAGGGCATGGGTGGGAATTGTCCTGGCTTACTGGAAACCTCTTGACTTGCTTTCGGTGAGAGGGGGCATACAGTTTAAAGTGTTCACACACTGTATTCACTCTCCAACTTTCGGGTAAGCTGTTGTCCTTGACTATGCTGGCCTTGTCCTCCTCTAATTCCTTCCAGTTCACAGCTTACCTCCTGAATTTTTTCTGATCATTTTGGTTTCCAGGGGTCCCTGTGTGTAATAATAATAGTAATAAATACATACATATTAATAACAATATCATATAGCATGATATATATTCATGAGGCAGTCCTGTATATTCAGTCCTTGTGAAGTACTTTGAGTGTACTCTAAATTTGATCTTCATCAAAATCTAGTTCGGTGGAGATCTGTATTCACATTTTACAGATGCAGAATCCTAGTTTAGGGCACAAATAACTTGTTCAGCGCTCCAGAGATCCAGCGATAAACTCAGGTTTCAACAGTAGCCCCTCTGCACTTTGAAGTGACTCTTCTCTTTCCCATAATAATTCCTGTAAAATTTGGACTGGGGTGGCTCACTTCATACTTAAGATACATTGATGTAACAACTTTTTGTTGTTGTTTATTTGAATTCTGTTTGTTCAAGTAACTAACTGCCAGAATCTTGAGGGCAAGAGAACTCTTGAACCACTTGATACCCTTTGGTATCACTAAGACTCTGCACAGTGCTATGCAAACAATAGGATCCTGGTTAATTTATTCTTTATTTCATTGTTCTTTAATGAGGGCTTGTGCTATGCATCTGTTCAGCCTCCAGACTATAAAAATCTAGAATCCCTTATCTTTGACTCATGATATAACATGTAAGAGCTGTCCAACCAACACAGCAAGGGAACAGAGACTGTTGTATTTTTCTTGATGCTGATGACTCCATCAGGATTAACTTTTTCTTACTGAACTTTTATTTCTCACCTCTGCATGCTTCTGCATCTTTTTACTCTTTAACATCCATCCATATTACTGTGCGCAAGACTTACAATATTCAGTCTGAAAACATTTCAGTAATGTTGGTAAAGAAACGTGGTCCAACATAATCACTCCTGTCTTCTGGTTTTGTTGTAGCTCTCTCTGGACCTCTACCACACAGAAGACGATATTTACAAACTGTCACTGGTGCTGGAGCCTAGAAATTCCAGATCTGTATGTACTGTTTTTTCCTCAGTGCTTTTTTCTGTTTGTCACTGGCCATTTTGATGGTGTTTTGTGTTCTAAAGACTAAAGAACTTTGAAGATCTGTATTATTCCCATTTGACCAATGGGCCAACTTATCCTCAAAGGCATTATTTCTTCACATCAAATGCTAAGGAAGAGGAAGACTATCATTTCCCTGTTGTTTTAGTATTAATCTTTTATCTTTTATATCCCAAGAAAAATTATCTTTCTGTTTAAGATCTTGTCTTAGGTAGGATTACTGGTCATGATATCTTATATCCTTTCACATTTTGTTAAAAATAAGTAAATAAAGTGTCTAGAGAGGGCTCAGTGGTTAAGAGAACTTGCTGCTATTGCAGAGGACAGGGTTCAGTTCCCAGCACCCACATGGTAGCTCACAACCACTGGTAATTCCATTTCTAGGGGTTTTGATGCCCTCTTTTGGTCTCCATACATAGGGCACATTCATACATGCAGGTCCAAACACTCATACACACCAATGACAGTTAAATAAACAAAAGAAAACATTAACAGGAACAGCACAAAATACCATCATCTCCCATAAAACTAGTTTAACAAACTTTTAATCTGTCTCAAAAATTATGTGACTAAGAGTTATTGAAGAAGACACCTAACATTGACCACTAGAGTACACATACACATGAAACACACACTTGCATGCATAAGTGTACACACACTTATATACACAGAGCCATCATGTGTGAAGAGAATGAAAAAGTGTGAGTGTGTACATGAATCTATTTAGAGTCTATACAGTTGCTGGTCTTGCTAGTAGCCTACGAATAGCTCTCATCTCAACCTTGTTTGAGGTTTGAATGAGTTATGGTTCCTCCTCAGTTCAACTTACAAAAAAAATATTCCCAGTTCATACTAAATAAAGGGCCTCCTAGAACAGTGAAAACACTGCCACTGAATGAGAGTCCCAGAGAGGGGAGTACATAAGCCTCACAACAGCCTTAGCTGCATTCCCATTTGGACTGTATATCCTGCTTGCATTATTCTTTATTGCCACCTTATTCTCCATGTAGACAAACCTATCGGAAAAGACTGACAAAAGTCAACGGCCCCAGACAGGACTGAGAGACCCAAGAATTCACACAATAGTCAGAAGTAATTAACACATTAAACTAAGTGAAAACGTAAAAGGACAGGAACTGGGACATATGTTGGTTACTAGTTGTTGTATACATTCAATGCAAACTTAACACTAACACAAGTTATTTTAAAAAAAATAGATAAAGTTAGTTAACTTTTTTTTTTTTTTTTGAGACAGGGTCTTGCTATAAAACTTGCTGGCCTCAAATTCCTGATCTGCCTCAATCTCCTAAATGCTAGAATTACAAGTATGTGCCAACAAAACTGATAACTTGGTAACTGTAATCTGTATGTATGTATATATATGTATGTATGTGTGTGTGTGTGTGTGTATGTTTGTTTGTATGTGTAAGTCCATGGTGGATTATTATGTAAACCTTTAGAAATGATTTGGTGATATTTATAGTTATAAAATTTGGACGAGCTATTTAGGTCCAGGAATACAAATTTTTTATACCTACTTAAAAAATATAATGTAGGCTGCTATAAAGTGCACTATCAAAATATGTCCTTGCCATGTGTGTTAGTGCCCATGTGTGTTAGAAGACTCACACACCTGGAGGCTAAGGCAATGGAATTGTAAGTTCCAGAGCTACATAGCAAGAAACTTTGTCTTAAAAAGCCCAAACTAAGGAGAAGCATGTTTATAGTTACTGATTAGATTCTATTAACAACAACAACAAAAATACTGGTTTATTAACACGTGAAGCTGGATACAGTGGTCTTGGAGGAGCAGAGGTGAAAGGACCTATACAAATTTGAGACCAAAGCCTTGCCTATGTTGTTTTATACCTAGATGGGGTGACACTATCTCAAGTTAAAAAAAAAAAACCTTAAGTCTTTACTGATATTCATATATCAAATTTTATCTCCTTGGTGGATCATGGTCCAGTTAGTGTTGAAAAATGTGTGTGTGTTCTTTTAGCAGCCTACCTCCCCCACGACGCCCAATAAGCCTGTGGTTCCCTTGGAGTGGGCTTCAGGGGTGATACCAAAGCCAGACCCCACAATCATCAACAAACACATAAGAAAGTTGGTTGAGGTAAGTAACTAAAAGAGAATAAACAGAGAGTTCTTGAAAGCCCCCTTCTCTTTCCTGAATATTTTACAATTGTCCAGAAACCAAATGACAACCACGAAAACAGACCTTGGACAATAGGATCAACTGAGGATCAATTGACACTCCTTGTTTCCTGGATTGGTCCCAAAAGAAGAATGTACCAGAAGGGATCTTTCTCTGTCTTCTCTATGTCTTCTTATTTACCTAAGTAGTCTCAGCTCCTTCCAGCTCCCTTTTTGGGCACTTGCCACCTCTGTCACTGCCATCAGCTTGAAGGACTTTGGGGATTAGAATTACTCATGAAAAACCCACAGTAGATAAGGTGCTTGTTTCAGAGCAGGGGACTATCCTGTAAGCCGGATTGTTTCATCTGCTGTCTATTGTGAGGGTTTATGACACAGCCACACAATACTGTGATGTGGCTGCTAGAACCACTGAGGTCCAAAATAAAATCACCGAGTCTGAGTCATGGCTCTTTCAGGGTTCGCCTTGTAGAAAGCAGAACAGATTTGGGTGTGGTGTACCTCAGGACTTGGGAGGCTGAGACAGGAGGGTGGTGAATTTGAGGTTATCCGAGATTATAGTGAAACCCAGCCTCAAAGAAAGAGAGAGAGGGGGTAGCACAAATATGGATGAGAAAGTTGAAATGTCTTTGTTGACATTTCCAATGTCAACACTTCCAATGATCCAAGCCTGATTTAACCCCAAACCCCTGTTTTCATGGGCTGGTATAGTGTCTATTACAATAAGGTTGAATCTATGAGACAGATAGTGCTTTTTGCTGGAAAAGGATTTTCAAGAACACAGAATGTTCTTCATCTTGGTAGAACCCAGGGACTGGGTAATTGCTGAAAGAAGTTTTATGGTGTGTGCTGTTATGGGTTCAGGAAGAGACTCCCACACATACACCAGACTTTGATGGAAATTTACTGAATGCTGAACAAAAACTGAACGGTCAGGGCCATCATCTGGAGCCAGACTATGATGCTGGTCTGTTTCTAAGGTAGGTTTTTTGTATAAGACCAGTTAACAACCAAGTAACCAGGTGTAGGAAGCGGGAGAGGGGCAGCGTTATATCATTCTGACTAGCTAAACATTAGATTTTGTTCCCTATATATTTTGTGTTCTATCTAGGTAGCTAGACAAAGCACTTTATAGTGATTGGCTGGGATTTAGGGTAGGGGAGCTCCTGGGGACTTCCCAGCTTTCTGGGAGTAAGGAGCACAGCAGGATGTTTCCGTCTTTAACTCCAGGAAAATATGCATTTACCATCTGTTCTTTTATTCTAAGCAGCAAGTATTGAACTGTTGAGTCTTATCCTGGCCTCAGGCACATAGGTCTGAGAACTTGAACTTAATTTCGCCTTATGATCAAAATGAATACTTGGAGGCAAAATGGCTTCTGATATGCTAAAAGCTACAGCGGGTGTTAACAGAGGAGCTATAGTTATGCTAAGAACTAAAGTAGGTCTCAACAGAGGGGCTGTAGAGTTTAAGCAGGTTACAACATGCAGAAAGAAATAGTTAAAAGGCATAGCACTGACGGCCAGAGTGCTGGTACACACCTGTAATCCCAGCACAAGGGAGGCTGAGGCACGAGAGTTTGAGGCAACCAAAGTTACACAACAGGACTGTACCTCAAAAACAAGAAAGCTGAATGCTGGAAAGTTTGTTCAGAGGTTAAAAGGATTCCCTGCTCTTTGCAGGGCCTGAATTTGATTTTTAGCATGCTCTTTGGGTGGCTAATAGCCAACACTAACTCCTGCCAGGGGAATCCAAGCTCACTCGGACACACAGGTATACATACGTTTTGAAGTACCTACTATTTGTCATTGAATATCCATGCTTTTTATAGAATAAAAGAATTTTGCAAAAGAAACTGTACTACAAGTTTATAAATAAAATTGGCTTTTGTTTGATTAAGCTGATGATAGGCATTTTAATTCAAACCAGGCCAATCTTTCACCAGGAAATTAGGGTTGAACTGGTGGGAATAGAGATGATGAAGAGGAGGAGTGAAGGGAGAGAGAGGAAAATGAGAGTGTCATCTGAGCAAGGGCAGCAGTGTGCAGTATAAGGTGGGTTCAGAAAGATGCTTTCTGACATTGCCTAGGTTGCGGACTCCCTGTTACAAGTTGTCATGTGTCCTGTTAGTAAGTAGCACTGTGACAGAGTTGATTTCTGGAGTGTTCACTCTCATCACTCTGAACAATTTTTAGCCTATATATTGACTTTTATTTAAAGTTTAGAATATATAGGTTAACATGAAAACATTTCCTCCTTCCATGTATAAACTTAAAAACTTCTTATTGGGATTTTGATGAGGATAGCATTCAACATATATTTTCATTTTTTGAGATAATATAAACTTCCTAAAGCTTCATTTTACGTTTTCATGGTATTATAATCAATAAATTCAAGAAAATAAATACCATTCAACCCTGAGGTCTCAATTTAGACTTTTCTTTCTACAGGAAATCTTTCTTATCTAAATTCCAATCTCAAAGTCCTCTACAAACCACTAATTACTTTATAGTGTTAACTAAGCTTGGAGTTTAGTGATCTCCTACCAGATTCTAGGCTGTTGGATTGAATGTGTCACAAGTTTAGTGCCTGGTTTATGCATGTCCATAGTAAATACTAAATACTTGTCTATTCTCTGCAGTCTGTGTTTAGAAACTATGATCACGACCATGATGGATACATCTCCCAAGAGGACTTTGAGAGCATAGCTGCCAATTTCCCCTTCCTGGATTCCTTCTGTGTGCTAGACAAAGATCAGTAAGTTTAATTTTGCTGTTTTTTTTTGTTGTTGTTGTTGTTGTTTTGTTTTGTTTTTTTAATAGATCTGGCTGAAAACAGAAAGTGATCTGGAGTGTGGGAGGCAGGCAAGGCTGCAGTCTGCATCCTGACAAGCTCTGCCCTACTGTTCTGATAGAGCAGTCTGGCTTTTCACTGGTTGTTTCTCTTGGTCTCCTTAAACATGACCAGTTGGGTGCTGTCATGGGAAAGATCACATCTTTGTCGAGCATAAGTGTCCATCTGCAAATGAACCAGCTCTCAGTTTCTTTCAATACTTCTACTGCTTAACTACCAACTCTGAAAGTCCCACCAAGTCAAACAGTGAGAAGCCTGATGGCAAAGGCCTGAAGTCCCAGCTTCAGGAAGGCTCAGGCAGGAAGATCACAAGTTTGAGGACTGTTGGGGCTACAGAGTAAGAATTCAAGATCAGCCTGAACAACTTAATCTGTGATACTATGTCTCAAAATAGCTATTAAAAGAGGGCTGAGGGTATAGCTAAGGGCGGAGGGCTGATATTCAGAATTTTCCCCACCCATCAGAGTCTGGTGTTCCTAATGTCTGGCCAACACTCCTCTTTCTAGTAATTCCTGGGGTAAGCTCCCTCTGTCTGTGGTTCTGCATACATCTCGGTTCTTGGAATTCTTAATGGATAAGAGAACACAAGGTCGACAGCCATGGGAGTTTGTTGAACCACTTGGTCTTTGAGTGCTTCATAACATATCTGCTGGAAGTGTAGTTCCTGGCTCTATCAGAAAATTTATATGATGCAAGATGGGATATGTGCTAAGCAGCAAACTCCTCCTTTCTTTGTCTGTTGATCCATGAAAGGATCTGAATCGTCTTGCTGTCTAGTGGTTGAGATTCAGTTGACCTTATAGTGCAGTAAGTGTAAGACTAAGTGATTCTACATCTGTCAGTTATCTATCTTTTTTTCTATCTATCTATCTATCTATCTATCTATCTATCTATCTATCTATCTATCTACCTATCTATCTGTCATCTACCTGCCTGCCTGTCTATCTACCTATCCACACATCTATCACCGATCTATCATCCATCTATCTGTCTTCATCATGGTCATCTCATCGTCTATTCTCTGTCTGTCTGTCTGTCTGTCTCTGTCTCTGTGTGTGTTTTTTCAATTAATTTATCTTTAATTAAACTTTCGTTTTATGTTTGTGATCGTTATACGTGTGTGTAGAAATTGCAGGATAATTTTTTAAGATGAATAAGATACTAGGTGATTTAATTTTATAAATTTTAAGTATGATTCAAGTTATTTTGCAGATGAGATGAAGAAAGGATCTTATGTCTGGGGTACAATTATGACACTGCTAATAACAGCAGGGGAACCTGTGGTAAAGCTAGTTGGAAAGGAATATACGAACTTTGGCATGGCTATGTCAATTTTTAGAGGGAAACAAGATGTAGAAGAAAAGATGCCTAGCAAGTTATTGAAGATGTAATACAAAATGTGTGAGAACAGTTGGGCTGGAGGTGTACATTATGTTTCCAGCCCAGCAGCATTAGCTGGTTGCTGGAGCGTGGTGCAACATTCCTTTCTGGTGGAAAATTTAGGGGGAGATGAGCTCAGAACTTGGGACATGAACTTGCAGGACTTCCCTTCCTACTCATGGAAGATGAAAATAATGAGTGGATTCTGCAGAAGAGACAGAGAAGGGGGAGCAGAAGAATAAAGAGGAAAGCAGAGAAGTGTGGAATTGCATGCTCTATAGAGGAGAGGATGTCAACAAATAAATATGTCCCCATGCGACACCCTGCTATGAGGTCAGTGATCTCAAAGAATGAGAGGAAGCCATTAAGAACTGTCCTCAGAGACAGTTTCAGCACAGTTGCAGTGTGAGGAACTTGACTCAGTGGTGTAAAATGGTGGAAGAAAATGCTATTGACTGATATGATGTTTTTGACAACTTTGGGAGTTGGTGAGAAAGAACAGTGCACACACACAGCATCCACTTACTTGGGAAGGTTTTAAATACTTTGTTTCCTTTGAGATTCATCCTCATTTTGGAAGTTCAAGAAAAGTGAATATTTCTCATTTGCTTTTGGTCATAAAGGTTCAGGAGGTGGGAACTACAGTGTGGCAACTACTCAGTGATGCAATATTCAAAGGTTCTTCCCTTCTTTGACTTTCCTAACAGGGATGGCCTAATTAGCAAAGACGAAATGATGGCTTATTTCCTGAGAGCTAAATCCCAGCTACACTGCAAAATGGGACCAGGATTTATCCATAATTTTCAGGAGATGAACTATCTCAAGCCGACCTTCTGCGAACACTGTGCGGGATTTGTAAGTTGGATTTCCATTTCTCATTTTTGCGGGACCTCGGAAAGGTAGGGAAATGATCTACTAAATGAAATTCACCTTTTTCTTAGATAAAAAAAAAAAGTGTGATCACTCCCTGAAATGAGAGACGCAATAAAAGCAAAACTGAGATCTGTGAGCTTAGCTGTGCTTTAGCTTAGCTTGTCCCAACCAAGGCAGGGCAGGTTGCTGAGCTGAGAGAGAGAGAGAGAGAGAGAGAGAGAGAGAGAGAGAGAGAGAGAGACTAACATCTGCCAGGGAAGGTGTCAGCCCAGAGAACCCCGGCATTCATCACCACTATTGTTGATGGTTGTCATAAAGAGGAACATTTATCTTAGCCAATTCCTTCTAGCCCTCATTTAACATGGTATTAGTCACTGCATCAATCATGGCATGGCTCGGTACTTCCCAACTCAAAGAGGATGGGGGAAAAATCCTTTTGGGATACGGCAGTCATGATAATAAATAACATTTACTTAGTGCTTGACAGTAACAAAGTTCCTGGACATGATGTAAGGAGTCCCCACAGCATGTCTTTGAGGCAGGCGTTTTTCTCTCCGTTTTGCCCATTAAGATGGGGAGGGGTAGAACGGCCATGTCAAGTCCTCCAGAATTGCAGTGTGAATCCTGCACTCAGCTTTCACCACTGGAGCATGTGGAGACTGTACGCCAGTGGTTCTCAACCTGTGGGTCATGACCCCTTAGGGGTCACCTAAGACCGCTGTAAAACACAGATATCTACATTATGAATCCTAACAGCAGGAACATTACAGTTGTGAAGTAGCAACAAAAACAATGTTATGCTTGGGGGAGGGTCACCCCAACATGAAGTTGCAGCATTAGAAACGGTGAGAACCACTGCTGTACCCCTGCCCTGACACTGGGCAGTGGGGCCAGCTTTCGGCCCCCTCCCCACATTCTTGAGCGCTAATTATCTTCCTTCTGGTACTCAAGTAAAACAAAAACGAAAAAAAAAAGAGTGAGGTGAGGGTGGCCCTGCACCTAGGTGTAACTGCCAGAGCTCAGCTGCTGGTTTTGTTCAGCAGCCGCATCCCGGTGCTGACTGCATCCCGGCTGCATGTCAGTTACACTGTTCCCATCCCATGCTTGAAAGACTGGCTCTGGGAGCTCAAGGGCCCACGTGTCTCTGGGAATGGGTAAATAAGAGGCAGCTTTCACGTTCGCGGCGGTTCCAGAGGCTGACAGCAGCCCCGAGACCACCCTAGCCAGCTTGCCTTACCAATCCCAGAGACAGTGAAGTTCCTTTTCTGTTTACGTCTCCACTGGCCTCTTAGCAGACTACTCTACTGTACATGGGCATTTCTATTTTCACGTGTCCCTTGTTTCTCTATTCTCATCCGTATTTGGGGAAATACATAAACCTGAAAATGCAAGTGAAATGAAGCCATGTACTCCACTGCCGTAGACACACACACACACACACACACACACACACACACACACACATTTGCCTTGAAAAATATATTTTCGAGCTTTCAATTTAACAGGTTAGGCTGAGAGGACCTGCCAAGCAACAACTGAAGGTCAGGACTATTCTTGACCTCTGGTGGTGTATGAGGGACTGGAGGCATTTATTCAGTCCACAGTGTTGTCTGCGTTGCCTCGTCCTTGCGTGGGATGGCAGTTTCATAGAAGCAGGAAGGTGGTTGTTCTTGAGGTGCCCCAGCTCCCCCCACTCATATGAACACAAGTGCCGATGCTATGCGCCAATGCTATGCGCCGATGCACCTGATACGAAGAACGATGCTCTGGACTGGGCTTCTGGAACCTTGGCCTTGAGCCTCACTTTCGCCCCCTCTTAACTCCATGTCATGGAACTAAGTCAGGAACTAAGGCTATCTTTATGTCTGTCTTCCTATTTGTAAAAAGACACTCAACACACTGCTTACCTGCCAAGCTGCTGGCATGTTACAAGTCTGAAAGTATCAAGGGAGTGAGAAAAAGAGGAAACAGCGTAAACTTTTTTGGAAGTATTCTCTTGCACTGTTAGAGGTTGCCTGAAAGTAACTCTTTTAATTTTTATAGTCCTTTTTATTTTTCAAAATATAGTTAATTGAATTAGTACTGTTTGACTTGGTCTTTGTTCATATAATACCTGAGGGTTCATGGATCTTCAAGGGATTTTTAAGTACAACTCTGAAGATATATCCTCGAAAGGAACTGTAAGAATGCCAGGAACCATTTTCCAGTGCCTGGGCCATCTGCTTTGGAAATAAATTCTATTTTTAAGGGTAAGGAAGGCAGAGCGTGTGTTTCAGGATCAGGATGCCAGAACGGAAAGCCTGTTGGTAATCCCCGTCTTTTATAGAAGAAGAAACTGAAGGCTGGCGAAGTTGAGTGAGTTAGTTCCCCAAGGTCACACAAGTCATTGGCAGCAGAGACATTCACCCCAGCCAGCTCTCCTAACTCTCAGTCCAGTGTTCATTATATTATAAAGAATTTCAAGTATTGTAGCAGCCCATATGCTCAGACCAAAGGAGCCTGGAAAGTGCTCCCGAGACTCACCTACGTGAGGCTGCCATCAGCGGTCACTGACTGGCACCCTGACCCTGTGCCTTTTCCTGGCAGTGTTTTCTCCTGGGTTCTAAGTGAGTTCAGTAAATCATGTCCTGAAAGCACTCTTCCTTAATGATATCTTTTTTCAGCAGTTCTTCAGTACGGCTAATAATGTACTGCAGCTCCATATTAGGGTGCTCTATCTTTATGTGTGGCAGGGACGAGTCTCATTCAATAGTCCAGGATGGCCTTCTGGACTATTGAGACCTTCTTCTTCTTCCTTCCTTCTGAATTCTGAGATTAGACACGTGCACCACCACACCAGGAAGGGATGCCTTTTCATCGCCTCCCCCTCTTCTATTGAAAATAGCTTTTTTCCTCACACAGTATACCCTGATTCCTGTTTTCCCTGCCTCTACTTCTCCCAGTTCCTCCCCACCTAGCCTCCCATCCACATCCATCCCCTTTCTGTGTCTCATTAGAAAACAAACAGACTTGTAAGGGATATTAACTGGTACTCCCACAAGCTTTGGGCCAGTGTTGCGCTAGCATCTCCAGCCAGCCGGTATTGTAGATGGAAGGGTTTGTAGCTGGGTTGGTGTTTGCACTTCTCCTTTGGTAGCATGCATCGTAGTACATAGGGGTAAAGGCTCTCTGCGGGCACCAGTGTGACTTCTCCATGTTCAAATTAGTTGCGTACGTATTGTCTTCAACAATAAGACTTTGCCATCAGCTTGTGGAGAGCAACCTATGGTCTTGGCAACAATCTGGCTCACTCAGGGATCCCCATGGGACCCCTTTGGGCAACAATTCAATTAGATATAACCCATTCCTGGTACTGGCAGCTTCATTTGGTGACAAGCGATGCCCACTTAGAGCTATGTCGCCCCCACTATTTTGTGATTTTTATTTAGATCAGTTTCATATATGTATTTATTTTAGGAGGGTTCTACTATGTTTCCCTATTGCCCTTCAGATGGCCCTTAATTTTAGCTGTCTCTCCCCATATGTATTCTCTCCCTTGTTCCCCACCACCAGCTCTTGACTCTTCCCTTCTAACTCCCCACCCCCAGTATATCCAAAATTATCTATTTTATCTATTAGGGAAATCTATCTGTCCTCCACGATCCCTTACTTTATACCTAACCTCTGTGGCTCTGTGGACTATAGCTTGGATATCATTGATGTAATGGCTCATATGCACATACAATTGAATACATAATATATGCATCCTTTTGGGTTTGGGATATCTTATTCAGGATGATTTTTTTATGTTCTATTCATTTACCTGTGAGGAGTTATTATTATTATTATTATTATTATTATTATTATTATTATTATTATAAACAAGACTACCCCTTCTTAAATCTCCTTCCAATCCTACCCAAGTGGCATTGTTCACCCACAAACAACCCAGAAATAGGGGTAAAAATGTCATTAAAGTTTTCCAGGTTGAGACTTGGCAGGTATCTATTTCATGGTCATCATCGTCACCTCTTATGTGACAGTAGCAGGCTAGGTGATTTTCAAGATTTGCAGGCCCTTGACATGATGCAAATAACCTGATCAACCACTTCCCCTTTCTGCCAGCATTTAGTCTTCAGTGGTCCTCTCCCCTGAGCTGACCTGCTAGTAGGGAGTAAAAATATCTTTCCTGTCCAGAGGTAAACTGTAGCCTTGCTGGGACCATTTGAATCTTAATGTGTTCTGAAAGACCTAAGAACTGTGAAGGATCAAAGGAATCTCTGGGGTCCCCTGGTGGGATTCCGATGTCTCCAGGAGAGGAAGAGGCAGCCACCCATCCCCAGGTCTTTATGTCACTGCGTTGGCAGCTATTTTCCTTTCAGAGCCAGGTGCCCATATGCAGGGGGCTTGTTCACCACAATGCACTGTGAACAGGGCTCCCGCTGGCCTCGGGAGGCCATTGGCCCAGCTCCTTTCAGCATTATTTATCAAGCAAACAACCAAGACTAACCCATCAGCGAGGGAGGGAGTTTTTTGAGTCTAAGCCCACTAAACTGATCTAAGCCTAACACTGAATCTGCTGGTGTCCCTGCTGCCCGTGAACATGCGAAAGCAGAGGAAGGGCAGGGCGAGGACACTCTCCTCACAATGTCAAGAACCAGTCTGCCAGAAGGCCAAAGCCTGCAATGTTACTAGAGTGTTTAAGGTCAGAACCTGGGACTCATCAGCCCTAGGCTCAGTCACCTGACCTCAAGTTGCCTATTAGACAAACTATAGGAAATTCAGTGTGGCCACATTTGGGAAAAGGAACAAATAAAGATGGATAGCGAGATTCTGTCTAGTCTGTCTTCTGAGTTCTGACAATTCAGGTTTATGCTTAAATAGAGCAAGAATGATATATGACCAAGACATCCTTATTAAAGTGTGGTTTGGCCTAATTTTGACCCATCATTGTATTAGCTCCAGTCTTTCCTGCAAGGTGGCCCGAGAGGCTGTCAGAATTGTGGGAATTCTCACTGAGAGAGACAAACCCCTCCTTTTGCTGGCCTTGGACATCAGCCTCTTTGTCTCTAGCCATGAGATTTCTGGAAGCTCCAATTCCCTGGGGACCATTGCTTCATTCAATAGCTTGAGGGATAAAGGAAAGGGAACATGGAACTCTTTAGAATGTCTTCATTTCTGCCAAGATGTTACACCACAACTAAGGCTGTGCCCAGAGCAGCTTGCAAAAACACTCTGTTGAACCTGAGATATTTGTCACGTCAAAAAATAACGTTACAGTTCCAATTAAAGATCCTAGATATCGCTATTTTAGATTTTAAAACCAGGCAATACATCATTCCACAAAACAGAGTAAGTTTTCCAATGAGCTTGGCAGCAGGGGTTGATTGTATAGACAGAGAAGCTGAAGCAATAGCAGCTTGGTCTTTCCCTGTGCATGGAAGCAGAACAATGTGGTAAAGAACAATAAAAAATAGCCAGGCATGAAGGCACATGCTTGTAACCTCAATACATGAGAAGTTGAGGCAGGAGGATTGGGAATTCAAGACCATCCTGGGCTACATAATAAGATCCTGTCTAAACAGAAAAAGAAAAGAAAAACGACAAACAAACTGATGACATGAGTTCCCTTCACCTTCCCTGTTTATGAATTGAGGTATAGGTAACAAATTGAAACTGGGAAGAATTTAGCTGCCGTTTCTCCTGATTCCTGGGAAGGTCAGACAAAAAGCTTAGTTTCAGCATTGTGGCATGGAACTTTAGTGTGGGTAATTCTTTTTTTTTTTTTATTCTTTTGTTTTTTTTAAATTAAATTTTTATTTTTTATATTATTTACAGTTTATTCACTTTGTATCCCAGCTGTAGCCCCCTCCCTCCCTTCCAACCCTATCCTCCCTCCCTCATTTTTCATGCCCCTCTCCAAGTCCACTCATAGGGCAGGTCCTCCTCCCCTTCCATGTGACCCTAGTATATCAGGTCTCATCAGGACTGGCTGCATTGTCTTCCTCTGTGGCCTAGCAAGGCTTCTCCCCCCTCAGAGGGGTGATCAAAGAGCCTGCATTCTGATTTTTAGTTCAGTGTTTTGGGGTCCTGTGCAGCAGCTAAGTCCATCACAAAACAGCCCCCTGTAACTTTTACTTAGCAATCACTTCCTACTTACTAACTTTGTGGACGTAACCATGTCTTTGGCTGACGGAGTCGGAGCCTTTCTGACATCTGTCACAGCCCTGCTGCAGACACAGTGCATAAGATCATTTGCCCCTTTTTCACCTGGTAAAATCCATATTAGTAAGTGCGTGCTTAGATTGCCTTCTTTCCTGCAAAAGTGGCCCAAGCAGCCCGTATCATTAAAAAGAAAGACAGGGAGACTCACTGGTCAGTTTTCCTATACATTTGGCTTGAGAGTATGTCACTGAAGTCTAACCAACATACCAATTTACCACCTCTAATTTCCCATCCTAACTACCATTTGGCTCCAAGAATGAAAAGGGAAGTTATGGCCACAGCTGGAAGAGGCTGGGAGAAGGCTCCTCTATGACAGGAAGGGTGTCCAGAGCAGCTACATCCTGTTTGTGAGCTGCCAGTCATCAAACTTCCCAGGACTTCCTTCTCTAGGGTCTTTTTTTTCCTTTTAGGTGTCTCTTCCCACCACTGACATTCCCTTATCTTCTGTTTCAGCTCTGGGGCATAATCAAACAAGGCTACAAATGCAAAGGTAAATAAATACCTGTTATGTAGCGCACCTTTTGGGTAAGGATAAGATCTGTTTGATTAAACCGTAAATACCTTGGCCTTGTTATGAACTCGGGTCTCTTGGGACAATGGAAGCTGTAGAGTTAATGTGTGTCAGAAAAAAGGCCCTGGTTCATCCCTGAAATTCAGGAGGGCATGGGGAAGGCTGGCAGCGCCTTTGCCTCCCTGGAAGCTGGGTTGAACACAGGCTTCACACTCATCTGCGGCACCTTTGGGGTCTTTTCAGACTGCGGAGCCAACTGTCACAAACAATGCAAAGACCTCTTGGTTCTAGCCTGCAGGAGACTGGCCCGGGCACCCTCCTTGGGCAGCAATCCTGGGTCACTGCCTGGAAGCCCAGCTTTGCCCCCAGGTAACGCTCTCTGTGTTCTTCACAAATGTCACAGTGTGTCTCTGAGCATCTCTCCATACCTGTCCTTCATCTGTGTTCTGTACCTACTTAGAGTCTGAATCATAAAAACAGCAAGGGTACTGGCTACCTTAGAGTACTCAGGATGCTAAATCCTTAATTCTTTTGCTTTTTAGTCTAATTCAGACTAGCTCACCTGCTGCTAGTCATTCTAACCCTAGTCTGTTCCTCTGGGACCTTGAAAATCAGATTCCCGGTGTCTATACCAACAGTGATGGTTTGTCCCTGAACAGAATGACCTCAGATAATAATCACTCTCCTTTCCCTTTTAGTGCAAGATGAGGTGTTTGAGTTTCCCGGGGTCACTGCTGGACACCGGGACCTGGACAGCAGAGCCATCACACTGGTTACAGGCTCTTCCCGTAAGATTTCTGTGAGGCTGCAGCGAGCCACCACTAGTCAAGCCACCCAGACAGAACCTGTGTGGTCAGAGGGTGGCTGGGGAGACTCGGGATCCCACACCTTCCCCAAAATGAAGTCAAAGTTCCATGACAAAGCAGCAAAGGACAAAGGCTTTGCCAAGTGGGAAAATGAAAAGCCCACGGTACAAGCTGGTGTGGATGTTGTAGACCGAGGCACTGCATTTGAACCTGACCAGGATGACGGGCAAGATGAAGCCAGACAGGATGGTGAGGTCAGTGCTGAGAAACCACAACTACCATCAGCAGGAGGCAGCTGAGGCTGCTGATATGGGTGTTGTTGCTCTGGAAAAAATAGCCTCATGACCTCAAAAACACTGTAACTAGAAACCAAGATGTATTCCTTTTAGAGTTGCTGCTGGCTAGTTAGATGAGCCCAGAAAGATGACTGCTTGTCCCCTCTGACCTGTTTCACCATGCATAAAACCAAAATACAATTCTGAAATGCAACAAGGTCATGAGTGTACCACAGTGATCCATCAGGGATCTTTAACTATTACATATATTCAAATACCAGTGCACTGCAGGTTTGCTTCAGTTTCCAAGCCAGAGCTCAGACTCAGGGAGGGCTTGTAAACCGAGAGCTAGATTCTCCCCTGTACTAAAACAGAGACTCTCGATAGTATCAGAAAAAAAAGTAAGAATGCAAATTTTTCATGCAAATTTTCTTAGTGCCCTTATACATGTTATGGCATGAATTTCTGAGATGGAAACATTTGAACAAGGAGAATTTTGAGAGGGACTAACGTTTTGTGCATCACCCTATGGAAGTGCTTATTGTTTATTGTATAGAAATTTTATGTGAGACTAATATTTTCATGAGCTCAGTGGACAGTCTGGTTTTTTACATGATTTTATTTGTTTGTATGTATCTGAGTAGGCTCATGTATGTGTGTATGAATATGTACACCTGTGCAAACGCGCCTGCATGCATGTCCTGAGGTCAGAAATGGGTGTTGGATGGCCTCATCTAGCATTCTTTCTGAGTCAGCAGTCTCTCTCTGTCTGGGCTGACATTTTCCTCAGCTGGGGTGGAAGCTAGTTAGCTCCAGCAATCTGCTCCACTTGTCTTTCCCACCATCATCTCAGAGCTGCAGTTCCAGAGATGTGCAGGACAGCTAGCTATTTACACGGGTGCCAAAATCTAAACTCTGTTTTGCACGATTGTGCAACAAGCACTTTGAACAAGCACTTCTCTCTGGTCCCTGCTATTTTTCTTTTTCTTGCTTTTTTTTTTTTTTTTTAATTTTTTATTTCAAGACAGAGTCACATGCTGTTACCCTGGGCTAGCATCCAACTCCTGGGTGCAAGGGATCCTTCTCTGACTCCCAGGTAGTGGAGGCTACAGGCTCAGGTCACAGCTGGCTATCTCTGTGATCTTTTAATTCCCTCCTAAATATGGAGGCTATGAGGTGCTGATCATGTGAGGTCTTCCCTCATATCAGCTGGAAACCAACATTCTAGGAACACCCTGCTTCGGTTAAATGAGACCCAACTCTGCAATAGGTTCTGGTTTTTATTGCAGGATGGCTGAGATCAAGCCAGGGAGACAGAAGGCAATCATGTCGGCTTTGGGGAGGAGAGAGCAGTGAAGCTCTGAAAAGCATTGCCAGCTCCGGAAGCCATCTGCAAGAGATCTGGTTATGCTCACGGCCTCACATCAAGGGACCTGGACGACTTGACTATGGGACAGAAGCTCTAGATTCTGAACTATTTATTTCCTGCACTCTGCCCCCACTGAGGTGCCACAAAAACTGTTATGTGGTCAGCTGTTCCTCACATCTCTCTAGAGCCGATTATACACAGGGGAATGAAAGCTTTGGTGCACACGCATGATACCCGTTCTCCAAACTCCAAACTTAGCTTTTTTATAAAATGTGTGTGTTTGTGTGTGTGTAGGGGTGTCTCATAAGAAGTTGAGTCTGAGCTCCTTTTTTGTGCCTTTTAGATGGGACCAGGACTTGAAGTTTTACTGAGGAACAAAGACATTTTTCAGGTTCTGGAAGGCGGTGTTCCCTCTGCTGACGATTACCCGTGAGGAGTGTTTATAGTGTCCTACCACACAGGGGCTGTGGTGTGTAATGCCATACATGTGTATCACCTAGGTCTTACTAGTCCTGTATCACTAAGGGGAATCATATTCCCCAAAGCTTCCCTGATATTTGTACTAGTCATGGTGAAAAAAATTATACACCTAATTGGCTTCCCCGGTCTTTCTGAAGATTCCCAAAATAGAATGTTAATTAAGAAATCAAATCAAGTTCCAATGGATAAAATTTAGAAGGAAAAAAAAAAAACCCACTGAATTATTAGGTGAAAAGAAACACAACCAGTTTGGAAAGCTGAAAGTAAGTTTAAGACTTCTGTGGTGGTTAACTTCTGGATGCAAAAAGGGTAACTTAATTTCTACCTAATAAATTCTCATCCACAGGAAGAAAAATCATCATAGATCTCAACTATGGATTGATAGTACACTCACACCTTTATAATATTAATAATTTAAATGTCTTCCTTTGGGTGTGCATCTTACGAAATAGATTCATGATGTTCAGAAACAGAGACAGAGGCAGGCTGGTGTTGCGTGCCTGTAATCCCTGCACTCAGGTCATGAGGTAGGAGGGCCTCAAATCTTAGGTTAGCCTAAGTAACTTAGTAAAATTCTGTCTTGAAAAAAGAAAAAAAAAACCCAAATGTAATAATAAAAATAAAAGAAAAATTGAGGTGGTTGAATCTGTCATTGAGGGGACCAGTCAAAAAAATATTCCACAGAGGTAGCCAGGTCCACAGTTGATTGCTGACATCTATGCTTCCCATTTGAAGCCGATTGTGGTTTTATTTGGGAAAGTTGCTTCTATACAGATCAACTGATAATTCTGCTCTGGTCCTTAGAAACTGAGAGCATGGGGACATAAAGGCTAAGTGGTTCCAGTGTCTTAAAACTTGGGTAGAGCTGACATAATGTGCTCTGAAGGATCTGGGATGGGAAATGATTTGGATTGGGAACACTGAAGAAATGACGTTATTAACTGAAGGAGCCGTGAGTAAGCTAGGTGAGAACTCACCTAACAGGGTCAAGCATCTCAGAGGGCAGTGCTGTTAGATCTATGTATATACACTATCTGTTACTGTTCATAAATACAGCGGAATATATGTTAACAACTTAAAAGCAGAAAGTGGTAACTTAAATACAGGAAAGCCTTCTGAAAAAAAAGTCAGAAAGAAACCTGTAAAGAAATGTTGGACTTTTTATATTTGTTTTTAAAGGAGTTATTTCACTTGCCATTTGGTTTGGATATTTATGAGTTTTCTTATATGGAAGGAATTTGGTATTTGCAGTCTTCCTAAGATAAGGAAACAAAATGTACCTTCAATGAAAAATAAACCAAACAAAAAGAAATGCAGTGTGTATTGTATGTGTGTATATACCATGCTTTACCTGTGTATCGCATGCATATACAAACACAACCATTATTAGCCCACTGAAGGGAATTCTAGTCCATTATGAAGCTGCTTTACAGTTTTGGTTATACCACTGACTTAAAACCAATGGTGACTTTACTGATGACTTAAATTCATCCATTTTTCCAGAGTCAATAAAATAGCCAAGTCGTGACAAAGCGAAACAGAATGATTTTGCTTCCTCCAGTCCCGTTTTGTAGTAGATTGTCACCCTGATTTTCTTTCGTAAAGAAAAGCCTTACTTTGCATGTGGATGTTTTGCCTGCTTGTCCCCAAGTGCACCACATGCATGCAGTGCCCCTGAAGGCCACAAGAGGGTGTTGGATCCCCTGGAATGGGAGTTACAGTTGTTAGCTGTCATGTAGGTACTGGGAATTGAACCCAGTTCCTCTGGGAGAACAGGCAGCCCTCTTAACAACCCTGAGTCATCTCTTAGCCTCACTGTTATCTTCTCTTGGGGGGAGGGGGACATTCAGTGTGTATCTAGGGAAACAGGGTCTCCCTGTGCAGTGAAGGATGGTCAGTAAATTTCTAGGTGGCTCAGGCTGGCTCCACACGGGAGAGTACTGAACTGTACCCTGCCACTGTCACCTTTGAAGGGAAGAGCAAAGCTAAATTCTTTGCAGCCAATTAGATAGGGCAGTGCATATTAGCTACTTCCATTGATTCTTCACTGAGATACTTAAACCAAAGCAGCTGCAACTGGCATTTGAAGCCTTTTGTTGAAGGTCTGCCTTCTCAACAATGTCCCCAGTTCCCACAGTAACTTCCTTTACATGATCTTAGAGCTTTGCTTTTGGAAAATGATGAAGGCAGAATCCAGAGGATAGGCACACCAAACTGGTAACGGGTGATGGAAGCTCATATAATCCTCAGAGAATCACAGTATAATTGTCAAAACTAATGACAGTAAGATTCTGGACTGACAAGATAAAAACTCAACCAACTGTTGAGCATACATACCTTTGGAATACAGCTTCCACCAGACTTATGCCCCATCTCTGCTGTCTGAAATCATGGGATACAGGCCACATCAGATACATCTAGAGGCGCCTCTGTTTCTTCATGCAAAAAAATACATTTCATTGCCTGCTGGGGGCGGCAGTGAATTGAACCTTTAATCCAAGCTCTCAGGAGGCAGAGGCAGAGGCATCTCCGAATTCGAGGCCAGCCTGGTCCAGAGTGTGTTCCCAGGACTGTCAGGGATACACAGAGAAAATGTCTTGAAAAACAAACAAGATATGTCATTGCTTTCAACTATTTCAGCGAACCATTATTCAATTAAAAATCTGTGTCTAAAGTTACTTTAAAAAGAAATACAAATGAAAATGCCTAAAGGAGCTTTTTATTCTGGGCACTGTCATATGGAGTTTATCTGCTAACACTGTCTAGTCTTCCCATTTGAAATTAGGTGGTCAAGACAAGGAACTGCCTAGGTAAAATGTAAATGAATTTAAAGAAAAATCTATATAGTGTGCACATGTAAACAGTCTATAGCATAAATATGGTTAAACGGCTACAATATAGTTTCTCACAGTGAGATGGGAGAGAAACAGAAACTAGCTTTAAGAGTCAATGTGTCCCCTGCACTGACGGCTGGGCTGAGTTTTACAATTTCAGAAGGCGGGTAAGCACAGGAAGTGACTTCATTTGCAACCCCACTTCTTGTTGCACCAGACCGAGCTGGGTAAACATGGGAGCACATGGGGACCTTACATGAGAATACTTCCATGTCCTCAAGAGTCTCAGTGGCAGTCACACTACAATTTGTGCCCACTGAGAATGTGGAGGAGCACTGGGGAGGGGGAAGGGGGATAGCACTTGAACATTTCCATAAGCAACTGTGCCGAACACTTCAGAAATAAAACATGAAATTGGCAGGAAGAAAAAAGGGGGGGGGGATGGTGCAGTTCTAATCAAGTACCATACCCAGATGCAATGTTAGGGACCATGGTTACACTTTGGGTCAAACATTACATAAATCAGTCTTTCTATGGTAACTAGGGAGATTTATACGTTATAAATATGTTACACCATGAAAGAATGAATTCTAATTCACTTTAATATGATAATGACTCCGTGGTTACGTGGGAGAATAGTTTTAGGAGACACCTGTAGACTACTTAGGGAAGAAGTATCAACATCAGCAAGTCATTTTCCCGTACTTAAGGCTCCCGCATAGCTGGGTATGCCTGGCTGCAATGTGCTTTTAAATGGTCTTGGGTTTTTTGTTTTTTTTTTTAATTTTGTTTCCATTTCACAGTACGATAAAACAATATGACAAGATTTTAAAAATGTTGACTCCAGATAAAGCATTTAAGAACTTTTCTGGACATTTCTATTTCTAAACAGTTTCAGGGAAAAGACACGTTTATCTTTACTATAAATCAGTTTTAAAGTAGCAATGAGCATAAAGCAAAGAGAGAGAGAGAGAGAGAGAGAGAGAGAGCGCGCTTCGGTCTTTAGCCCAGGGAAGGAGATGGCTCCAAATCAGACATTGATCAGAAGGGTCTGCAGGAGGGTGTGGGAAGAAGTTGCTGTGGTAGACAGTCAGTGGTTGTATTATCTAACAAACCAACAAACAGAGCAGACACTTATACTTTGGATAAAATTTCAAAACTGAAACAGCATGAGCACCCAGGGCATACTAGAAATCATGCTGCTGGCTGAGGAAATGAACAACATCTGCCATCTCACAAGAAAACAAAATGGCAACAGAACATAGAAAAATGGTTCTTCAAATTTCTCAAAGAATCTAAGCAGCATTAATGGGGTTCCTGATCCATACAAACCATGTCAGTAATAAACATTTATTGCTGTTTTGATGTACTAAGTTTTAGACAATGAACACACTGTCCTACAGGACAAGTATACCACAACCTTTTGAAGTACCCTGTTCACCAGAGAAGTATGCATCTCTGGCAGATGAAAATCATTTGTTTGATGTCAGTTCTTTCCAGATTAGCACCTGTACCCTAATCTACAGTAAATAGAAGTCAAACACAGAAATCTGTAATATGAGAGATTTATTTTCACTTTACTCAGCTTCTGATATAACCAGCCAATAAGTACACAATAAGGCGCTAGACCCAGACCATCCGATGCAGTAGCTAACAGTGCTGGTGCCAGGGACTGAACTCACAGCCATTCGCACGCAAGGCAAGCACTCTGCCAGTGAACCATGTTTCAGCTTTGTATTTCAGATGGTGATAAAACAAAACAGAAACAGAAGTCCTCTACATTCTAGAACTACTTAAGGGATTTTACAACATGAACCAGTAAGGAGTCTTCCAGCCTGTAACTTACTCTTTTCCTTGTTTTTGAAATGCTTATTACAAAGCTGCTTAAGTTCAGCAACTATTAAGTGGTGGTGATTGTGTAGAACCCCAAAGCATTCCAGACCAAATGGAGCAGAACGCACAATGCTCCTGACCACCAACACAAGCAGAGACAAGGAAGAGTGACACTGGGAGGCTTGACTAGCTGCAGAGACACTTGCCTTTCACTGATAGGATCTGAGTAGCTGCAAACTGTGATTGGCTAAGACCTGTGGAATTATAAGGATGTACTTTGTTTAGTTAAAATTTATTCGTGTCAGGCACTTGCCTTTCACTGATAGGATCTGAGTAGCTGCAAACTGTGATTGGCTAAGACCTGTGGAATTATAAGGATGTACTTTGTTTAGTTAAAATTTATTCGTGTCAGGCAAGGGTACAGTGTACTGAGAACAAAGGCTGCTCTGGGCTATCACCCATGTACAGTGACAGGTTTAGGTTAAGCTTAATATCCTTAATAGTAATAACTATATTTTCTAAACCTTGTCACTTACATATCATTCTTCTTGGTTTTCCTCCTACCCTGATTCTCTTCCACCTGTCCCATAAAACATGATTCCTCAAAATTATAAATGATTCACTACCTTTCTCCCCTTATTTAGGGAATTCAGTAGTGAATCATAATTATCATTAAGTATCCCAATGGAAAAATCTTTGGATCCTTGTTCCAGCCAATCCCAAATCTTTCCAAGCATTTCTTTGAGTTTTCAGATGAAATACAGCCCCAGAATATTACACTTTTATTACAATAAGTAATTTTGAGACAGAAGAGGGAAGCCACCCTGTGGGTGGCCACTCAGCAGGTGTTAAGCACATCATTAAGGTACCCTTACAAAGGTGTTGTGATCACTGTCACTAATGGTATAATTACTAATGTAAGCATTCCTTCTAGTAATCATCTTTTGGTGTGTAAATAAGTAGACACTGGGGGAGTAGGGAAATTAGATCCCCTTGTCGGCAGCTGTTGGATTCTTCTTTGCTGTCCTGGATGCCTTGACCAAAATAACTGTCAGTTAAACAAGCCAGCCCACTGGGGCTCACTGTTTTGAATACTGCAGATTCCTTGAGGAAATACAGGGCAATTACTTGCAATTGCTTGCTTTGGCTTCTGAAATGCAACCACAGCCATGCCCGTTTCTAGTAGTCTGTACCAGGCCATTTCCTAGCACACACATCTTGGAGAACTCTAGATGGCCCTACAGCCATCTTCACCCAGGCTAGAGGGGATCATTTCCTGATGGCCTAGGTGCAAATACCCTTTTCCTGGCCTTGTGAGAAAAGGCACTTACTGATCTAGGCAGACACACACCTGTGCTCCTTCTCCCAGTGCAGCAGGGCCACTCAACAAAAGGCTTCCCACATAACCTTTGTTTTTGGCGGAACCATGTGAGCTGCCATCAAGAAAGAAGTTCGCTTCTAGCCACCGAAGCAGCTTAACCAAGGAGTTAGAGGCAAGGCTGAGCCACCAGTAGACTGAGCCTTTGTCAGGCGGCCGATAGCGGCAGAGGCAGCAATGAGGATGGCAAAAGTAGAGTGACTGGTTGAGAATGAAGGACAGAAGGTTGTGAGGAGCCAGAGAAAAAGCAGGCCCTGCTTA